AAAACAGCCTAAAAAGCAACCAATGGCAGCACCAACAATCTCAACAAGAGCTCCTGTCAGGCCCACAGGTCAGCGACGATTTGATAATTCCTAAATTTAATAGTGTGGGTAGCGTAATGACAAAAGTTGCACCACCATGCGACTTGGTCGTATCGGATCACGCGCGACTAGCGACAGTTCATAAATTTGTCGCTCGTCACACGTGACAAATCGACGCTTCGCTGATAAAAGAAACATCCATATGTCCTCAGGAATACTCTGGAGTAAGTTCCGACAATTTACAGTGCCAGACAAACCGTGTTTTGTGCGAACCAGACAACGGTACTTGGTCGGCTTCGAGGAGAAAACTACCAGTGGTATTGATCTGAGAACCTGCCTTCAAAACTGCCTTCAAACCGTCACTTTCTACTGTGCAAGTGTTAATTATAACGAATATGAAAAGGTGATATTTTCGTTGGTGATACGTCTTGATGTTTAGAGCGACCAAGATTTTTAAGATTTGTACTATGAATGGTGGCAATTTGCATTTGAACGATGCTCAAGCTCATAAACTCGCCGTCCGACTATTACGAAAATGAATGCAGCCCCGAACAGAACTCTGATCATAAAGGTTTGTCTTTATTACAGCTGAGACAACACTAAAATATCTATGCTATAGTTGGTAAGCAATCAGGGGGAGGCGTTTCCAGGAGAGGCGGAGCCCGCCTCCGGGATCAGTCGTGAGTAATTAGGGAAGAAAACGACTAGTGGCGGGAAGCGCCAGCGGGTAACCTCAATGAGTCCCTCTTGAAAGCGTCTCGACTGATACCGGCGTCATCAACTGTACTCGTTTCAGCGGACTACACTTTCAGATGTAAGGACAGAGCGATTTCAGATAAAGGAGAGAGCGACTTTTCTGATCAGAACAAACTTGCTGCACTTAAGATTTTTGGTGTAAGGGGAAAATCCAAGTGTCTGCATTACATCACTCAACTGACCAATAAATTAGACAACGGGGCCAGGGCATCCAAATGTTGCAGTGGCCTAGTGGAACTTTTATCAGGACCCCAAAGAGTTGACACGAAAGTGTTACAGAAAAGCCAAGTCGCCTACTTAGGAAGTGCCGTGTGCGTGTGTGGTTTCAATGGGTTCCCTTTGGGGTACTGCAGTAGCGACTTTCCCCACACGATCCTGCTACATACTGCAAGCAGTGTACTGCCTATTTCTGTTGGGGGTGTTTTGGTGAAGGATGCAGTCCTGCTTTACTAGCGAAAGCTCCCGTCCCAGAGTGGAGCTCGATACCGATTTTCAGGATGGGCCTGATAGCAGGTGCATGTGCACGCTAGGAGTGGATGAACATAGTTGATATCGTCACAATCAGTCGGGGCGGTGTTGCATCCTCCTCCGGGCATTTTCGTTTCTATCAATAGCTGATCCGATTTAGTAAGTGAGTCAACCACTAGATTAACGAGTGTTAAAACCTACATATGGCGTTCTGAATTACATTATCTGTTGATCATCCGCCGAGTATTGCATGATGATGACTGTATAAAGAAAGCAATATTACACTCAACGGATGACAACGAGAGACTGACAACGCCTCACTGACGGTGATACATCTCGTTGGCTGATACAGGTAGCATATAATTCTATGGTTATAGATGAGAACTGTGTATACCAGCATGTTATTGTGCCACGAGGCCTAGCGACATCCTGGGATAACCAGGAGGAAAGCGATGAAGAAGACCACAGCTACTGAGTGAACAGTCACTTGAGCGTCAAGAGCCATCAAGCATTACATAGCCAGAGATCCGCAGTGCTGTATTGGCCCATCTCACTTTTAATAATGGTATTCATCCAGCTTCTGTACTCTCTAAGACCGTAATTTCAGTGAGCAACTCGACCACAAGTCGCTCGGCGGTGGCAGAGCGTTGCTTCGCTGTTTATCCAAATACGATGCTACTCAATCTCGAGTCACACCTCCTTCAAAGAGTTTCCACACTAGGTGAGCTTGTTTCATAGTCATTTTCGCTGCAAGGGCTGGGGCCTGTCACGGGTGGGATCAGGTTGAGCGCCCCGTTCTCGTTTTCTACCAAGTGTTGTCTCATTCCCGTTCCAATAGCTGGAGAACGGGCTAGCGCCGCGCCACACCCAGATATGTACTGACGTCTGCAATGGAAAGGACTGCACTTGCGTTCTGAATTTTATTCACATAGCGGTCAATAAGTCAACGAGGCGAAGATGGTACAGCGATATAAGTCGCCGACTACCGCGCACCCTATTTCGGAGACCAAGAATGTTTTTCTGAAAAGTTTTCAAATTTTATACAATAGGATTCTTCAGAAAAACATTAAAATGTCTTGAAAGGAGCGTGGCCTGGGGAGCGGGGCTTCCCTATTGGTAACAGAACTGTCTAGAGGAATGAAAGACTGCCTTTCTCCTCGCAAGAGCAAAAGTAAAACTATTGCTCGTGTCCGGGAAGAGGAATATTTACATAAGACTCCTCCTGATAAATTGGTATAACGGTCCTGCTAATGGGAATATGTGCTTGGAATAGGTTCGCCCTTCCCCAAGCCCTACTCTCCACACTGCAGCAGACCTCGGAAAATGTTCCGTTTTAACTTTTCTGCTGAAAAGTACTCGTTTACAGAACAATGCCAAGAGGAGTGTTTGAAAAGGAGCGGTGTCAAAGGTATCCGACCATGTGGGGCACTGAACTGGATCCCACACGCTAGAAGCTGCATGCTATTTGAAGTTGGATTCGACAGGCAGCTGATCGTGCCAAGTTCACATGTCCAGTTCATCGTAAACAAATGCACAGGTAAGATGGATGTTAAATCCAGCTTTTAAAGATTAAGATTTCGAACCGCTAGTGTGGCTGGGAGGCACATCACGGGTAAGGTGGCTA